CCCCCCTTCCCCCCCCCGAGTGCACAAATTTTTGTGCACCGGGCCTCTAGTTTTTATATAGAGTCCCAGTGCACAAATTCGTGCATGGATGGGGTCCGGTCGGCCTGGCCCTGATCGGGGTGGATCGGGGCCAGGCTTGTAGGGAGGAGGAGATGGCGGGAGGTTGGCCAGCCAGCCCGCCCCGATCAGGGCCCAGTCAGGGCTCGGCCAGCCAGGGGGATGAGGGGGGAGAGGCCACCGGTGATTGGCCAGCAGGCCCCACCCCTGAATGGGGTGTGGGGCTGATTAGGGGCGGGGCCGGCTGTGGGGAGGGGCTGTGGGTTGGCCGGCCCCACCCCTAATCTGGGTGGGGGGCCAATCTGGGATGGGGCTGGGCGGGGGGAAGGGGCTGCAGGAGGTTGGCCGGCCAGTCCTGCCCCCTATTGGGGTAGGGGGGGGCAATCGGGGGCGGGGCCAGCTGGAGGGAGGGGCCGCAGGAGGTTGGCCACCAGCCCCACCCACGATCAGCAGGCTGGCTGCTGGCCACAGTGGGCGTCATAGTGACAGGTCATTCTGGTCATTACAGTGCTCCAGTTGCTGGCTTTTTATATATATAAATAATGAACTCTCAGAAAGAGAAACTAAAAAAATAACCCCATATACCATTGCAACAAAAAATTAAGATACCTCGGAATAAACTTAACTAAGGAGGTAAAATACCTGTACTCTGAAAACTACAGGACACTGAAAAAAGAGATAGAGGAAGATATAAACAAGTTGAAGAATACCAGTATACTGTGTTCATGGATTGGTAGAATCAACATCATTAAAATGTCCATACTACCCAAAGCAATCTACAGATTCAATGCAATCCCCATTAAAATACCATTGGCATATTTCACAGACCTAGAACAAACTCTCCAAAAATTCATGTGGAATAAAAAAATATAGCTGCACTAATCCTGAGAAAGAAGAACAAAGTTGGAGGGATCACAATACCAGATATCAAGCTATATTACAAAGCCACTCTTCTCAAAACTGCCTGGCACTGGCACAAGAACAGACACACAGACCAAAGGAACAGAATAGAGAACCCAGAAATCGACCCAGGCCATTATGCTCACATAATATTAATATTTGACAAAGGAGGCAAACAATGGAGTCAAGACAGTCTCTTCAATAAATGGTGTTGGGAAAATTGGACAGATACATGCAAAAAAATGAAACTAGACCACCAACTTACATCATACACAAAAATAAACTCAAAATGGATAAAGGACTTAAACATAAGACGGGAAACCATTAAAGTCTTACAAGAACCCATAGGCAGCAAAATATCAAACATTTGTCATAGCAATATCTTTACCACTACAGCTCCAAAGACAATGGAAACTAAGGAGGAAATAAACAAATGGGACTACATCAAAATAAAAAACTTCTGCACAGTAAAAGAAACCATCAACAAAACAAGAGAGCCGACTGCATGGGAAAACATATTTGCCGATGTTATATCTGATAAGAGTTTAATCTCTAAAATTCATAGGGAACTCATATAACTTAACAAAAGGAAGATAAACAACCCAATCAAAAAATGGGCAAAGGACCTAAACAGACACTTTTCGAAAGAGGACATACAGAAGGCCAAGGGACATATGAAAACGTGCTCAAAGTCACTAATCATCTGAGAGATGCAAATCAAAACAACAATGCGATACCATCTCACATCTGTCAGAATGGCTATCATCAACAAATCAACAAATGACAAGTGCTGGCAAGAATGTGGAGAAAAAGGAACCCTTGTGCACTGCTGTTGGGAATGCAGATTGGTGCAGCCACTGTGGAAAACAGTATAAAGTTTCCTCAAAAAATTAAAAATGGGACTCTCATTTGACCCAATAATCCCACTTCTAGGAATACCGTACATACCAAGAAATCAGAAACACCAATCAGAAAGAATATTTGCACCCTTATGTTCATAGCAGCACAATTTACAATAGCTAAGATTTGGAAACAGCCTAAGTGCCCATCTGCAGATGAGTGGATTAAAAAACCGTGGTACATCTACACAACGGAATACTACGCTGCTGTAAAAAAGGACCTCTTACCATTTGCAACAGCATGGATGGACTTGGAGAGCATTATGCTAAGTGAAATAAGCCAGTTGGAGAAAGATAAATATCACGTGATCTCACTCATTTGTGGAATATAATGAACAATATAAACTGATGAACAAAAGTAAATAGATCCAGAGACATAGAAGCATCGAACAGACCTTTGAACCTCAGAGGGGAGGTGGGGGGTAGAGGGGGAGGAGGTGTAAGAGATCAACCAAAGGACTTGTATGCATGCATAAAGCATAACCCATGGACACAGAGAGTAGGGGGGAGAGGGCATGTGCTGGGGGATGGGAATAGCCAGGGAGAGGTCAATGGGGGGAAAAGGAGACATGTAATATTTTAAACAATAAATAATTTAAATAAAATAAAAAAGAATTTAAATTTAAAAAAAGAAAATGCTAGGTGTTTAGGGACGGTCTTAGGGGAGGGTCTCAATTTCATCTGTCCTTGGGTGGGGTTGGCAAATAGCACTAATTGGATTTCCGCTATCTGTCTCCCTGAGTAGGGTGTTTTAAGCTATTTACCCTCTGTTTGGGGATAAGTATAAACCATTTACTCCTAAGTGTCCTTGGTTTAGGGAAGACATGATTTGCTAGATGTCTACAAACTGCTTGGCATCAAGATTTTTTAACTATTTGTCTCAGTTTCCCTATTTCACTTGTCCTGGGCTTACTAGTCCGTCTCAAGAGAAAGACTGATATTTGTAGCAATTAGGAATTTTAATGTCCCAAAGGCAAGTTTGGCAAATATTCTATCAAAGGTGTTGCCACATATCATGCAGTCTACATGTTTCACTGCCATCTCCAGGTAGCCTGCATCTTCAAATTAGAAAAGAAAGTATATGCTTTCTTCCTTCTTCATATCCAAACAAATAACAAAGGTCTGATTTTCCTTACTTCAAGTATCCTAAACACCTACAATTAGCCCAAAATCTTGACTTCAAAAGCAGGAAATTGAGGAAGTCTTTTCAATTGTTTTATCATCAGAAAAGAAAATTAAAAATATATACATACAAGTTTGTAAATACAAATACATATATATGCATATGCACAAACACACCCATATCTGTGGGAAGCCGCCTCTTGTCTTCTCTAGCAGAGAGGTGTGGACAAGGAGCCCGGAAGGCTGGTGACCCTTGAAGCCCTGGCAAAGGTTAGGGCTGTGCACCCACTGTTCAGTCGAGACAATGGTAGCAGAAGCAACTTCCCCACCAGATAGTCATGTAAATCCTTACTGATAAGATAGTCTGCCTTTTACTGGAACTTGCCTGCCTAAGGGCTATAGGTGTATCCCAAACTCAATAAAAGGGATGGCAAGGCCTGAGCACAAGAGGAGTCCATCCTCTTGGGATGTGCTCTCGCCTGGCCCCCCAATTTCCAAATTATCTCTTGTCTAGTCTCTTCCATTTGTGTGCAGCCCCTCTTCCAGATCCTGAACCCGGAACCACGCGGGACGTGGAGGAACATACAAACACACTTTACGCACATATCCTCTCCAAACCCAACTCAGTTAGTACATTTTTCATGTAATGAATACACCCTATGGTATTTATTTTGAATTCTGACCAGTCATTGCATTAATCTGAACCCATACGTCAATGCAATTATGAGAAAATAAACTCAATGACATTGAAATACTTCCCAAATTTTCACAGTTGTTGAGCCACTCTGCTAAGAGATTTGTGGTTATCAAAAAGATCTAAAACTGAGCTAATAGCACCTTGAGAAGAAAGTTTATGTCCCATCCTTCCAAGAAGGAAAAAACTCACAGCAAACAAAACAGCACCATTATCACAGAACTAAGAGCGGGTTACCCAACCCTGGAAGTTTAACGCAGCCAGCGTTTTCAAGTTCTGCCTCGTCTCAACATTTCTGTTTGGAATTTAGTTGAAGCCTGAAACTCCAAGTAAACAAACAATTTCCCATGGGCTTCAAAGCCAACTCTGATCCTATTCCTGATTTGAATGAAGGGAGCGAAACCTGTCTTTACCTTTAGGGTCAGAATCGGTAAAGAAAGAAAAAGGAGTAGCCAATCACTTCACCTTCGAATACAGGCCAAGGTTAAAATCTGGGCAGAGTGTGGTAAGAATGGCAATCAAGAGCAGAAGCTGCCGGTGAAGCAATATCTGGTGTAACCCCGAGTGAAGATGCCCAGACCTGGATCCCGTTCTCTCTCCCTCTCCGGGATGCCAGCGGCGGTCACAGGTCAGGGGCACATCTCCGCTGAGCTCACCCCTGAGAGGTAACTGGACAACAGATGATTTTCAAACACTTGTCCATTCACGCCTTAATTTTTTTTTTAATTTTTTAACCAGACAGAAGCCAGTCAGCAACACGAGGAGAGCTGGCGCGTGCACCGCAGCGTGCAACTGCCCCACGGCGGATGCCCCACTCACCGCACACCATCAGCAGCAGGACGATCAGCAGCGTGGCCACGAACACCAGCAGGGTCAGCCCCACGTTGTGCCACATCTTGCGGGTGGAGGGGCGGCCGGCTCG